ACTTCATGCAGGAGCACGTTCATGGCATTTCTGCCAACGTAATGGGCGGCTGCAAGGGCCCCGAACTTCGGGAAGCCGCCCAGTCGCACAATTGGTCAGGGCACCAGCATTACAGGAAGGGAGTTCATACTCCAGTGTGATTCATCTTTTGGAACTTTAATGATATTGCTGATCAGTCGACGTTTAATTTGCTTGGAGTTCGCGTAGAAGGGGGGCGGGAGGAAAATCCGGCGCTCCTCGCTGGAGCCCTCCGATTAATGTTGGAGGCAGCTGAACGCCTCATAGGCGATGCGGTCAAGCGCTCGCCTGATGGCGCGATTGAGATTATGTACATTGGCGGGGGCCACAGGTGTTGGAAGTCCCCGGATGGAGGCTGTGTTGACCCTATGTGGGGCGACGTCGCCACCCTCGTGCGAGCTCGAATGAACCGTCGGATTGAAGATTATAAGGCCGCGGGGACATTCCCGCGCATCATGGTTCTTGACGGTGCATGCATTTACCGCAAGTTGCAGCACCCTTCAAGTGACTTTTACCATTTCTGTCAGAGCATAGTGACTATAAGATAGACAAGGACGGACAAATGGTGAGAGGTAGGGCGGCCGAGATATTTGCAGAGCACATGTTCAAGGCTGCGAAACTCGCTGCATTGTTCTTTTGCCAACCCTCCGGCGGCCCAGCCGTTCAGGGGGGTAACCCATCGACGGAGAAAAGAGCCAGTGGGTACACGGCAGAGGAGACTACCTTTAAAGAGCTAGTAATGCACTGGCAAGACTGGAGCCCCACTGAGAATAATGTGCCCAAGTCTGTGTTCGACACTCGTCAGTTTAGGATACCTTCGAACCCCATTATGTTCCCTGCCGTCGAAGACGGGACAGGGGACGGGGCTATTCATTCCAAGCTTACCGACAAGTTCATTGTTTTTCTCAAGCGAGGGAATGTGCTTACCCTTGGCGAGATAATCAATATTTCTTACCACGGTGTCTTCCCTTGTGCCCGGGAATGCCCCCGAAGGGAAAACGCCTCCGATTGCCCGCGGAAGGAGTGCAGAATGATCAACGCATGCGCCCTGCGGTAGAGAAGCCATCGAAGGTAGTGTCTGTTGCCAAACCCAGCGGCCCAGCCGCCTCGGGTAATGTTGCTGCGGCGCGGGCGGCCCAGCCGCCCCGCGGCCCCGTGCTCGCTCCTGTAACGTGTGTACAGGACGCCAAGACGCCCGGCGAAGCGGCGGAGGAAGCCCTCCGTGCGAAATGTCCTGTCGGCCGCGGAGTCAAGCTCAGCAGCGGAAAGAAATTCCCCAGGCGCCTTAAAACTGGGGGCAATCCCAAGAATGATGATGATTGGGAAGTTGATTGGCCTGTGCACCAGCTGTATCAGAACGTTTAGATGTTGCCCTATAGTGATTGATGATCGAGCACGGATCCAGTATATTATAATTTCCTCCGACCGTTCACTGCGGAGAGTGGTGAGCTCTACAGACCCAAGATGCCTGGTAATTGTTACCCAGGGGAGGAGGACCGTGTTGAAAAAATGGCGAGCGGAGAAAATCCGGCCCGCAAACAAAAGTTCAAGACAATCCATGTTCACGCTCATGGAGAAGCTTGGTTCGGCAACCAGATGCTACAAACGTCCACGAAGACCCCTGTCTTGGATCCTTCTTATATGGTTCCCAATTGGGCACGTTTCTTTGTGATTAAGGCCGATCGGTCATGTGAAGACCCAGAGGCCACCGTTGCTGATCGCCTGAATTGGGCGAGATTGTCGACCAAGACCCACAAGGCGGGGAACATACATTGTACACAGCTAACTTTGCCCTTTCACGTGACGGCGGACAAGCTTGGGGAGGTCCAAGACCCGTCCTCAGGATGGAGCAGACAGTCTCACGGTACGTCTGTGACCGCCCTCCATTCGACATTGGAGGGCCTTCAGTTGCCCTCATCGAATCCCCGCTACGGAGGGGGTATCAAAAAAGGGCATGTGGGTGTGTATTCTTTCCCTTGTAGTAATGATCCTTCTACACATACTATATATCCTGTTGCAGGGGAGACTTTTGGAGATGGCATCCGGGTAACTGCGGAGGTTATTTTCTATGCGAAGCTTGTGCGCATCAAGGGCGCGCCTGATCGGTTTTGCAGTGACCCATCCCAGATGGTGTTAAGTGAGCTTCGCTTGTACCATTGGACGCCAGCGGCACTTCATGCCACTCAGGCTTGCACTTTCTTGCAACACGTCGCTAGACAAATGAAGTGGCCCCTGGGGCAAGACTTCGGGGTTGAGCGTCATCGCGATAAGGAGAGAGTGGATGCCACGGACCAAGTCCGAGAGGCACAGCGAGAGTGGGTCCCAAATTTGGGACCCATCGTTTGGCAGAAGGAGCGAAGTCCTTACCGGCAGCATCGCCGAGAGTTTGATGACATTTGGCCATGGTTCCAAGATGAAGGAGTTAGACTTACTGGGATTAATCCATTGCACAAAGGTGAGGCCTCCTATACATCCAAGGCGCTCTTTCGGGCTAATAAAGACAACGAAGACAAGGCCAAAGACAAGACACCAACGGATGTTCATGCCCAGGCGCCGGTGGCCACGCCTTCCGACGCCCTCTTTTCGCTGCTACCGAGAATTTTACACCTCTGTGACGGCCTGCGTCGCAGGCTGAGGGAGCGCCCCATTCTCCGCCCGGCACGGCCGTGGCTGAGGTGGCGCCTCCTCCTCCCTACACAGGCGCAGCTGTGAATGCGGCTGCGCCTCCGCCTCCGCCGAGGGAGGCGCCGTCATCAGTTAGGCCAGCGGACGAAGTGCCGAAGAAGCCTCCGCCACCATCCGATGCAAAGATGGCGCCGCCGCCGGCCAAGCCGGCGAACGTTGCGCCGAAGGAGGATCCGCCTCCAGTTAGGCCGGAGGACGATCTGCCAAAGAAGCCACCGCCACCATTTGATCCGAGAAGTGTTGCACGAGTGGCGAAGCCTCCACCGGCCAAGGTGGCTCGCACCGAAACTGGAGCTGACAATCCTTCAGTTCGACTGGCGAGTACCGTAGTTACTGAGGAGAGATCGCCGGCAAGGCCCGCTGATGCTGCACCCGCGGTTGCGCAGCCACCGGCCAAGCCGGCGGGCGCAGGGGCGACGGAAGGCAAGCCCCAGGCTTGGCCTGTGCCTCCAGGTAGGCCGACTTGGGCACCACGTTTCCGTTCGCCTGAGCCTCCTCCTCGAGCTTCGAGGTGGAATGTTCAGCGTCAATCATGCACTGACTACCGGCGCCAACAAGCCGACGCTGCGCCCAAGGCGGCACCTCAGCAATCGCAATTTACAGCCTTTCCAGGGTCTCCCCAGTCTGCCCAAGGCGGCGCTGGGGTGAACCCGACTGCGCGGGCCGAGGGCCCAGTGGCAAAGGCTGCGGCAATTGAGATAGAAGTCAAGACTGCCGAGGATGTGAGCTCTGATCTCCCCGGAGGCAATGAAAGGCTGGACACTCCTGCAGCCCCTCTCCCGACTCAGACGAACGGAGATCCCTCGTCAGAGGAATCTCCGGCCCCAGAAGGGGATGACGCTGCGTCCAATATTGCCCGGACCATCGAAGAAGTCTCACATTGCCACTTTGACGGAAAGCGAGCCCGCAATGCGATCAATAATGAGCGCAATTTCTTCCACGAATGGCGTCGTGCAGTTTCCGATGACCCAGCGATCGTCGAGGATCCTGATAATTTGCAGGAAATGGATGTGCACATTGAAGCAGCAATGAAGTTATACAAGCTTGCATAGAAAAAGGGGAAACACGAGCCAGGAGAGCATTCGGACCCGTGGAAGAAGTTTGTAGCAACTGTTGTAGACCATATCAAGAACACGAAATCAGATTTCGTTCCTGCCCCTGTGATTGCCGCCGGGAGCGAGCGTTCCCAGCCTCGCACTGAGGGCGACTTGATCGTAGTTGGAAACAGGCTGCCTGCTCCCCCTGCGCCGCCGTCCGGCCCAGCCGTGGCGGTAGGTGTACCCAAGCCTCCGCCTGGCCCAGCCAGGGCGGAGAACACGCCGACGCAGGGTGACCCGATGAAGGTTGACTCGGGCGCTGTTGATGCAGCGCATGCTGCGCCATATGAGGTTGCCGAGTCATCCCCTACCAAAGAAGTCCACAGCTCTTCTGACGAGGCGGCTGCGCCCGCTGCGAAGGCAACCCCACTGGTCGTCGCTCCGAGCGGACATGGCGCGGCGGAGCCTTCCCCAGCGGACAGAACCCCGGGTGTCCCAGACACACCAGGGTCTCTTGAGGCCAGCCCAGATCTTGGTTACCTCCATGAGTTTTCGTATCAAGTGGACCCTGACCTTATCTTCCTTGAGGAGGAGCATGATCGGTCTGGCCCAGCGGCGACCAACTTCTTCTGCAGGGCGAAACTGCCGCCTTCCCCTGGTATGCGGCAGCCTAGCCCGACGGAAGATTCGCCCAGTGCGGGCGATCATGAGGTTAACGTCGGCCATGCTGACCAATTCAGGGGCATGGAGCTTTATCTTCCACTGGATGACCGCACCCGACTTATTGAGAACGCGCCCGTTCATCTGAAGCGGCGAGTTCGAGAGGCTCACACTACTGGCCCTGTACCCCCTGGTGTCGAGGCCCTTCGCGATAAAACGTTTGGTACGCTCGAACATATAGCGGAGCTCGTCGAGGATCCCATATTTGCATTGTTGGGCGAGCTTTCCGTGGACATATATTGTTTTGAGCAGGTGCGAGATTTTCCCCGAGCAGAATTTCACTCTGACGATGTTCCCAGCGGATTTGACCCTCGGGCCTTTAAAGTCCTGACTCCGCTGGCTGTGGGCGTCTTTGATGACGAAAATCCGGCGGCCCTAGGCTCTACTGATTTTTGGTGACGCCACAGTTGTCGAGCAGATGTGCTTGCGAAGCGCATTGGAAATGTTGCTGCGTATCTCGCGAGACACTGCCGTCGAGCTAGGGGGCGTTGCATCCAAGTTCGGGGCCCAGGGCGCCGACGTTTGGGCGGGCGCGCCGAGGTGCGCGACGGACGCGGCAAGGCCCCTGAAGTGCTGCGCGGGACTCAGGGCCGCGGCAATCAGGGCTCGCGGCAAGGACCGATTTCTTGTCTTATGATTGCGTTCGATGGCGATGCAAAATCTTGGAGGCGGGTGGAAACGGGGCCGTCGGTGGCGGCGCAGGAGGCGGGGCAGGGGAATGGGAGAGGGGGCGAGGGGCTGGGCGGGAGGAGGGGAGGAGCGAGGAGGAGAAGAAGAGGGAGGAGGAGAAGAAGGAGGGAGAGGGAGGAGGTGGGATGGACGTGGGAGCGGCGTGGGGGGGGGAGGAACAAAACTGCGTTGGCGCTAACTTGAATGGGCGCGGGGGGCGCGCGCGGGGGGCGGGGGGGGGGGGGGCTGAAATGGCCGGGGCCAGGGGGCGGTCGGAGAGCGAAATCCTTCGCGCGCGCGATTCGCGGGCTGCGGGCTGCGGGCGAAGACGGCAGCAATTCGCGCGTCCAAGGGCGCGCTGGCGAAGGCGGAGATTTGCCGTGCTACAGCGCCGACGATGGGCAGGAGGAGTAGGCTGCGTCCCAGCGGGGAGGGGGCATGGCTGATAGCTCCGCCAAGCGCAGTGCAAGCGCATGGGCGCGCCCCAGTGCGCGTTCCGGTCGGGTGGGAACCGTTGCGACGGTGCCAGACGCATCAGTTCGGCCGAGCGTCGCGCTGATTACTTATTCCGCGACGCCGTCGAGATGCCCTTCGTGGCTGCGGTCACGACCTGGCTGCGCGCGACGTGGCAGAGGGGGCTGCGCTCGCTTGCCCGCGGGGCGTTGAGGCAGTACGTCTCTGACCAAGGCCCAGGCGGGCGCGCCGTGCCGTGCATCGCCACGCCGTGCCCGACGGCCGCTGCGGCGGTCGGAAAACTGCCAGAGGCCGCGCGGGAGCGGCGAGGTTCCGCGGCGCGTCGCCGATAGTTGGCAGCGTCGCTCGGTTTGCGCGGGGGGCTTCTCGACAACTGCAGTTGGGCGTTGTTCGAGACGCCGCGGCGACGCGCGGCCGCGGCGAAGGTCCTTCGTGAAGATGGCGAACCGAACCAGCTGGGAGCTGCTCCGCGCGCAGGGCATTGGGCGCGGGGCGTTCATTCAGGCCGGCGGCAGGTCGCGCGCGCGGTCTCCCCCCCCCCTCCTCATCCTCTTTCCCCTTCCTTTCACCCCGCTCCTGCAATCAGGAGAAAGAAAGCCTTTCGTCCCTTTGCCTTTGCCGTTTCGTTTCCTTCTCCCAATGTTCCGTGCCGTCGGCCGCTGCGTCACTACGGCGGGGTCCTCTGGCGTCTTCCAGAGTATTATTGTGCCCGCAGTGCGTGGCAATAGGATGCTTCCCGAAATAGCAGGGTTCGGCCAGGGGTGGGGCGGGGCTTCGCGCGCCCGGCTGCGGCCCCCACCCCAGGCGACCTTTCCCGATTTGATTCTCGAATGTGGTATTGTGACATCTCTCCTGGTGCGAATTGGTTGAATTGCGAGGGTGTCTCTGGGGAGAGCGCCGCTCCTCAGTTTCGGGGCCTCTCTGGCCAGGGCGTCTCTGCATGATTATGAGGAGGTGTCGAGCGGGAGCCGTTGTCGCCGTTGGTGGGCCATTGCGAAATTGATTGGATTGCGAGGATGTCTCGAGCGAGAGCACCGTTCCGGAGTTTCGCGGCCTCTCTGGCCATGGCGTAAGGGAGTACATCATGTGGAAGTATCGAGTCGAAGCCGTTGTCGTCGTAGCTTGGCCGCTACCCACTTGACTGAATTGCAAGGAAGTCTCGGGCGAGAGCGCCGCTCCTGTGTTTCGGGACCTATCTCCTTGTGTGTGCGTTGCGTGCCTCTGCGTGCGCGCGCGCCTCTGTCTGCGTGTGTCGACGAGTTCCATGCCCCGTTGGCCCTTCCCCTGCGTCGCGCCCCACGCATGGTGAAGTTTAGTTTGTCCGTCGGGCTGCGTACCCATGTGCGCGGGCGCCTGCGCGTGCTCAACTTTCTGATGACTATGGTCATGGAAACGTCTACGTGCAAGCGTGCGCGCTCTTTGTTGTGTGTGTGTGTGTTCGTGCACGTGCGCGGCTATCTGTATGTGCGCGCGGGTGTGTCTGCACGTGGGCAGCGTGTGCGTACTTAGTTCGTATGTACTTTGGTAGTTGTATGGGCCTGTGTCCGCGTGGTGTTCATGCGTAATCATATGTGTACGTGGGCATGTGGCATGTGCGCTCATGTTCGTGAGTCGTGGGGTTGTGAATGTATGTTGCACGTGTGTCTACTAGTGTACTACGCGCGTGCACGCGTGGATGCGCGCTGGCACGCGCGCGCATGCACGCGCATGTCGAGGGCCAACGCTGGCACGCAATACCGGGCACGGTCCCCGAGTAGGGCTGGTCGGGGGGGAGGGCGAGAGGAGGGATGGATCAGAATGGGAGAGGGGGCGGGGGGCGGTGAATGATATGAGGGTGGCGAGGATGAGGATCAGGGCATGGAGGATGGAGGATGGAGCGGGACTGGGGAGGACGAGGAGGATCAGCATGGCCACCCCTGCCCTTCACCTTCGCCATCCTCCTCGTCCTCGCCTTCACCCTGCAGGGGGGGCTCTTGGCATTGCCCCCACAGGTGAAAGGTGGTTTGAAGATAATCGCTGGGCTGGCCGACGACGGTGCCAGGCTGGAGTACTCGTTCTGCCCGAAGGAGGCGGATGTATACAATGAGTGTTTGTCCTTTCTGCCTGTATCTACGGTCGCCGACGCGCTCAAGAAGAAGGTCAAACCTTGCGTGCAGAAGTGGAATGAGGCCAAGGCCAACATGGAGTCGCAGGTCGTCGGCTTTGTCCCCAGAGGCTGCTTCGAACAGAATGGCTTTGCCATCGAGGTCGATCGGAAGTGCAGCGTGGTGAACGCGGTTGAGTACAAGAAGCTCTTTAACAGGGTCACGCGCCTGCGAGACGTTCGCTGGCCCCCCACACTCCAGAGCCCGAAGGAGAAGGGCGGCGGCCTGGAGCAGGTTTGGATGTTCGAGTAGCAGCCCCAGACGAACGCCCGCACCGTGGCGATCAAGCAGTTCTCTGGCTTGCAGCGCCAATCGCAGATGATGGATACCGACAAGCACTACTACAAAGATCAGGCGGCGGATGTCGTTCAGTGGAAATGGTCCGAGATGCAGGGCGAGCGCAGAGCGGCGAAGTCGGTTGACTTTCAGACGACGCTCGCCCGCGAGGACGGGCGATTCCAAAGTCGTTTCGGCCGAGCCAGATGGCCCCCTTACTGGGGCGGTCCCTCGTCCTCCCTCCCTCCCTGCCCCTCCTCGGTCCTCCTCGTTCTTCAGCTCCCCCTCCTCCTCGAGGGGCTTGTCCAGGATGGAGGGTCACCTGGCGCGGCCGAATGGATTTTGGACACCCAGAAGGTGTACACCTTCGATTCGTTCAGCAACAAGCTGCTCGAGGGCATCGAGGTTCCCGCTGCGTCGCGCGGCGCGGGTGCCAACCCAGAGGGAGGAGACTCCGAAGGGCTGGATGATGCCGACAGTTTGATAACGCCTCGCGGCGGCGATGAGGACGAACAGAACTCAGGCGGAGACGCCGAGGTGCCCAGCAGCGGCGCAGGTAGGTCTGCGGTCACCACCCCAGCCAGTACGTTTGCGAGGGCACGCAAGGCCAACAGCGCTGCTGGCTGCAGTTCGGCCAGGTCGGCAGCGCCGTCGAGGAGAAGCTCGGGGACTGCTGTGCCGTGCGTGCACGGGGTCCCCATCGAGATGCCCTTCAGCCAGTGCGTTGATCCGAAAGCAGAGGGGGCCGCGTCTGTGATGAGCGTTGCCGGCCCGCCTGCGAACGCGAAGGATTGGGACGCGGCGGACAGGTGGATCTCCAAATTGAGCATCTGGGTGGCTATGGCGAAGGGCAAGCTAGGAGTCCAGGTGCACCGCGCTAGCGAGGCAATGAAGAAGTGGACCCAAGCCGAGGGAGACAAGGTAGACAAGGTTTTCAAGCAAGAAGCACATGACACTTTTCTCACTGGCAGAATCGCTCCACGCTGACCACATCGACGCGCTGGAACACAAGGAGCGCGTCGCGGCGCTGGAGGCGGTGGCCGCAGTGACCAAGATTCCCTCCATGGTGTTGGTGAAAGTCTTGCGCATTCACTTCCGCGAGTTTGCGAAGGCGGTGAACAACAACGAGTCCGCGCTCTCCCTTCTGGCGATGGTGTGGCCCCTCCCATTTAGCGACGAGGCGGCGATGGAGTTGAAGGTGACGGAGCCGATGCTCAACACTATCCCGATGCCCTTCAATTCGTCAGGTGGGAGTCCAACACTCTCTTCATGAAGGGTTTCTTTCTTGATTTGGCACACGAGGGCGAGGGCAAGGCAGATATGGTGCATGCCGTCTGCGGTTATTTCGATGACTACACGAAGAAAGCTTCCGAGTGCAGCGATTTAAACAGCGACGAGGCCGACTTGTTGTGCGAGCTCGCGACGGTGGCCGACGCCTTGCGCGCGCTGCTCGACCCGAGCCGAGTGTTTGACGAGGAGGGCGGCGATAACCTCATGCAGGGCGTTGTCAGCTTGAAGAGCCCTCAAAAGGTGCAGAGCGTGCTGTCCTCGGTCAGCGTCGCAGTGGCCGAGTGTTCATTTTACAATGACAGGTTAAAGTTGGGGGCAGATTGCGGAATTGCGGGGCACGTATAACTCGGCCTTCGAACAGCAGGCACGCGCCGAGAAGACATGGAATGATGGGGGGCTCCCGAGCGCCTGACGGCGGTGAACGTCATGGGCGAGTTCTTGAAGCTGATTCCGAAGCTCAACGTGGCGATTCCTACGGCATTGTTGAGCGGCCTCCTGACGAAACCCCAGCGTTCCCTGCAGGTCATGGTTGAGGCCACGCTGGCCTCGCTGAGGGACGGCGCAGCAAGTGAGGGCCTAGTCAGAGCGACCCACGGCATGCTGGAGGAAGCCGCCCACGCCCTCCCGACGCACGCTGGCATCCCGAAATGGAAGGCAGGGGTCTCCAAGGGCATCTCCGACGCGAGCAGGGCCACTGACCTTAAGACCAAACCTTGGCATCGTTGAGAACACTAGCGGAAGAGTGTGCATGTCTGAGTTGCCGGATGACGTGGTCGCTTCCATGGAGACATTCGTCGATGAGGCCATCGGCACGGCCGTCAAGTCTTTCCCAGAGCCCATCGTCGACGGCTTGAGCCGCGTGGTTTCCGAGCTGCAGAGCGCGACCTCGAAGGTAGACATCAGCGGCCGCGACGACTGGTTCCCGCGCCTGGTCCAGGCGCGTTCACTGAAGCAGACCCTTACCACTCTGAGGGCCGACTGCCAGAACTCCGACGGATTCGACCCCGTCGCAGCCTTGGCAAAATCAACCGAGGTAGTTTCCATCCAGCTGCTGCACGATGAACTTCTGAAGTTCGACCACTACCTCAGGAATCGGCCCTCGCTCACCCTCGAGCCGACCCCCTGGGATGTCGACCCGATCTTGAAGGCGATTGCGCCCGTGACCGACGAGGCCGACGCGATGCTGCAGGCGATCGGCGGCGCGGCCGCCATTCGCGCCAAGACCGCGGTGGATCCCAAGATGGAGTCCCTCCGCGACTTCATGAACGGCATGTCGGGGGGCGCCCAATGGTTGGACGGGCTGGGCGAGAAGAAGCGACACTCTTGGAAGGACGTGCAGGCGCACGGGGCCAATACCATCATGAAGGAGCCTCGCGTCGCCAAGATGCGGAAGGAGCTCGAGGAGCTCGAGAAGGCCTGTTCGGCGCGACTAGTCGGCAGGAGAAGCAGCAGGATGGATCTGGAGGAGGATTTGGGCAGCGGCAGGAGGGTGAGCGGCGGAGAGGATAATAATGGCAAAGAGGACCAGGCGGGTGATAACGGCGGGGGCGCGGAGGGGGGGCGGAGGCTCGAGGACTCGAGGGCGAATGGGGGATCTTTGGGCGAGGAGCGGGCGAGTTACGAGATCGACCGATGAGGATGAGGACGTAGAGGATGGCGATGCTGACAGCGAGACGGGCAATGACAGAATGATTCGCGATGGCGAGGTTTGCGACGATGCGAACATTGATGGAGGGTTAGGAAAGAGGATATCGGAGGGGGGCCTCTTCTGGGCATCTTGAAGACCTCTCGGCCCGTCTGGGGATGGTCAGGGGCCGTCCTCAAGTCATCTTGGGCCGCCTTGGCGCTATCATGGGCGGCATTGGAATCCTCACTGGGCCCCCTTTGGGCTATCTTCAAGCCATGAGGGATCACCCTGGGCCGTTCAGGACCATCTTGGAGATCTTTGGATGTTGATTGTTTTAGTTTGGGGGCCGGCCTGGTCCTAGCCCCCGCTCTCGGAGGCCGTGGCCGACTACAAGGGCATCGGCGAGCGCTACAATGTCAAAATGGACAAGACCTGGTTGGATGACGCCGAGAATGTTATTCGGTGCTGCTGGATCTCCCACGTGATGGGCCTGCTCTTCACTGCGTTCAAGACGGCGACGGACAAGACGGCCTTGCGCGAGAAGTGCGCGAAGCATTTGGCCTTGCTGAACCGTCCAGGTGGTAAAGATATCGGCCGCACGCTGCTGCCGAAGGCAGTCCACGTGCGCGCTGAGCCCGCCCTGCTGTTCAAGGTCCAGGTGTAGGTCTCAACTCGAGGAGCTCTGGGCCACGACCTAGACGCGGTTGCTGGCTCGACCGACTGGCACCAGGCATCATATATGTTGAACTACACCGGGGGCGACTGTTGTGAATCGGATGGAGTTTGGCAGCGTGGGTCAGAGGCCTCCTGGATGCGTGTTGGGGTGTCTTGGGATGCCCCTCGGTGGCCTCTTCTATACCGATCTTGAAACTTCTTGGGGTGGCTCTTGGGGCCCTCTTCGAGCCCTCTTGGATGCCGCTCGTGGTTTCTATGGGCATCTTGAGGGCCCCATCGGGGCTCGTTGGGGGCGCATCGGCGGCCTCTGGGGGTGAGAGGCTTTGGGTGCCAGCCTGAGGCGGCAGGATCGACCTATCTGGTTGCCCCCCCCCTCTGGGCCCCTCTGGGGGCCTTCTTGGGTGCGCTTTGGGCACTCTTGCAGGCTCCCTGGGCCGTCTTGGGGGTCCTCGAGGGGTGCATTGGCCCTCTGTGGGGCATCATGGGGCGCCCTGGGACGCCGCTGGGGGCACTTCCAGCCGTCTTGGAGCGCTGGTGGCCAGACGCGCCGACATGTCAACGCCATTTCCAAGTTCAACCAACTAATCGATGGTTGCCTCATTGAAGCTCTCGCATGCGTCTTGAAGTCATCCTGGGCGTCTTGGGACGCTCTTGGACCGCAGTGGAGGCCTCTCGGGCCATCTCGGGCGCTTCTTGGGGGCCTCATGGTCCGTCCTGGGGGCCCCCTAGACGGTGGAAACATCGCGCGGGCGAACCCCGCCAGCGCGCGGGAGCACACCGCCAATCCTGGCAGGAGGATGACGAGAAGGATCGTGGAGCCATCTTGGGGCGGCAGGTTCGGCATATGTGGTTGTCGCCCCCCTTCTTCGGGCCCCTCTTGGGGCCCTCTGGGGCGCCCTCTGGGCACTCTTGGAGGCTTCCCGGGCCGTCTTGGGGAGTCCTCGTGGGTTGTCTTGGGCTCCCTGTGGGGCATCATGGGCTGCCCTGGGACGCCGCCGGGGGCATTTCCAGTTGTTTTGGGGCGTTCGTAGCCAGAAGCGCGGATCATGTCAACGCCATTGCCAAACTTAACACAGAATCGAAAGTTGCCTCTTGATGTCTGTTCCGCGCCTGCAGAACGCTGCCGCGCCGTGATGCGCGAGACGGCTGCCGATGCTTGGTCGCGAAGGCGGCTGGAGTGATGGAAGAGCGACGGTTGCTGTCGTGGTGGAGGTGCGCCCCTTCTAATGCCGCTTCCGATGGCCCATGCGCGGTTGCGCGATGGGGCCACTGAGGCCCTCCCTTAAGTTCTGGCAGTGGTTGGTGCGGCCTGCGGGCCGCGAAGTGACGAGTCCCACAGCGAGCGGCGGGGCGCGCCCCTTGCAGTGAGAGTTGAAGAACCCATCGTTACCACCATCAGCATCATTACCACTAGTCCTCTTTTAGCACTCTCGCCCTCCCCGTCTTCTCTTATCCCTTATCCCCCTTACCTTCATCTTCCCTTGGAAACCCCCTTCCCCCTCACATTCCTCGGACCTCCGTTTCAACGGCATTGCACGTGGGAGGGCGGAGGGAAATGGGGGAATGATGGAGGAGGGGGAAAGCGATATACGATTCGGATGCGAGGAGGAGGAGGAGTGAGAAGGAGGAGGGGGAGGATATATCGAGGAGGACGAGGAGCACGAGATACTGATGAGGATTCCATACGGAGGATTGGGAGGGCGTTCTGTTTCCACCATCCGCGTCTGTCTTCCTTTTCCTGCCACCATCAACCCCTTGTCCCTGCCTATCCCATTACCTTGTCGTCCCATTATTCCTCCCCCTCTTGTTTTGCAATGTTAGCGTTTTGATGGCATCAGTTCGGGCCACAGTCGAATTCCAAAAACAACACAAAAAATCGACTATGTGCGATCCCGCGAAAATCTAAAACGAAACTTACGGCGCACGCGGCGTGCGCGAGGAGACTTCTTCGGGGTGCGGTGCGCGAGGGCACCTTTTGACTCTTGGGGAACTGTTCGGACCTATGTAATAGAGATCCTTGAATCTATAGTCCTTTGCTGGAAGTTGATGTCATAACTTACAGCTGCTATCAGCCTACCTCGCAGGTCATACACCAACGGGTTTCCAACTTCTTGTTTTTCGGCTGAAGTCGTCCCACTCGTGGTGCCCGCTAGAGCCTCCATGGCATTCACTGGACAAGTGCCCGCAGATCCAGCCGTTGCCCGCAATCAAGGCGATACTGACAAGATGGTTGCTGTCACAAGCATTCGGCGCGGAGATCCCCATGTGTGCGCTCAATGTTCTGGCGCTTCCCGCTGGGGGCGTCTGAGTGACAGGGTCTAAGCCTGCGGCGACTGAGCCGGGATGATCTTGGGACCCTGACAGGATAGGAATCGATCCACGACTTGGGCGCGAACGGGCAAGTGTAACACCGCTTAGCGGCTTCCCCTTGGGGTGCCCATGTGAGATGAATGCTGCACCGCGGTGACCATGGGGCTCTCAATGGGGAGGAGTTGGGGGTGCCCAAACCAGCGTTTCGCTCGAGACATCACCAAGTCTGGCCGCGAGCATGCAAGTGTCCCCCACCCTCTGGCGACTCCTCCTTGGGCTCCAACATAATATGCCCGCCACACCGCGGTGACCATGAAGCTTTCAAAAGAGAGAAGTCGGCGACGCCTCACGAGCGAACCGCTCGAGACATCACCACAATCTGGGCTCGAACTCTCGGGGGCGTCGCTGGGAGGCATTTTGGGGCCATCTTCGGCCGTATTGAGCTCTTGATGGCCCCTTCGGGGCCTCTTGGGGTCGTCTTCGAGGCCTCTCCGGTTCTGTTGGCCGTGCAGAGGCGCCCCTGCTCAAGGCAGCCTAGAGCGGTGAGCTGCCCCCCCCTTAAATGTTTTTTTGGGGGGGGAGGGCGCCATGCGCCCGCCAAGTAGACAGTATAATAGAGAGGATTCGAGTGACAAGAACAAGAGACAACGCTTCACAGCCGCCTTGCGCCCCGCCGGGAGGGCTGGCGAATTTCAACGAGGTGATCTTCGATCACGAGGCGACGCTCTACAAGAGGGAGGGCATCCCGTGGGACCCGCTGGACTTCCCCGATAACACCATGAGCGTAAAGCTCATCGGCTGCGCGAAAGACGGCTTGCTGGCCATGCTGGACCAGGAATGCCAGTCGGTGGGCGGCAACGCGGAGCAGTTGTGCAGAAAGTTGCAGGGCGCACACGGCACGAGCAAGTTGTTTGGCGTCGTGAGACAGCGGCCGGGCAATTTCGTCGTGGAGCATTTCGCTGGCCCGGTGGAGTACACGTCCCAGACATTTCTCGAGAAGAATCGGGACGAGCTGAGCGCGGACCTCGTCGGGTGTCTGAAGGGCAGCTCCGACGAGTTCATGCGCCAGCGTTTCGTCGAGCATGACCGGCACTTCGGCACGCAGGAGTTTGTGTCAGTGCAGACGGGTTCCCGGCGGGTCGTGGCTGCGAAGAAGCACTCCGTCTCTGGGGAGTTCCGCGGCCAGCTCAGTTCGCTGATGCAGCGCATCCAGACCACGGAGCCACATTTCGTGCGCTGCATCAAGCCCAACCCAGAGAGCCGAGCGGGCGTCTTCCACCGCCCCTCCGTCGTGCAGCAGCTGCGGTACCAGGGGGTCCTGCAGGCCATCGAGGTGAGCCGCGCGGGCTACCCCATGCGGCTGAACCACCGTCAGGGCGTCCTGGACTTCCGCAGTTTGGCCAGGCGGGAGGACAAGGCCCAGGTGGAAGCCCAGATGCTGTGGGGCCGCTTCGAGGCGGCCGCGCAGGTCCTCTTCCAAGGCATTTCGGAGAGCCTGCCGAGAGGCTCTTGGGCGCTTGGCAGGACCCGACTGTTCCTGAAGCGCGAAGGCGTGGAGGCGCTGAGCTCGGCGCTGAGCCGCGCCCGCCGCGACGCCGCCATCCGTGCGCAAGCCTGGTGGCGCGGCCGCCTCTGCCGCTGGCGCTTCATCCGGCTGGCGCGGGCGGCGCTGCGGCTGCAGGCCGGCGCCCGCGCGTTGCTGGCCCGTCGCGTCGCACAGGCCATGCTGCGCCAGAGGGCCGCCGTGGCCGTGCAGAGCGCCCGGCGCATGGTGGCCGCGCGCCGGCTGCGTCTGCGCAGCCTGCTGGCGGCACGCTTCATCCAGTATTGGCTGCAATCGCGAAGGCTGCGGGCATGGCTGCTGCGAGCTGTCGTCGCGGCCCGCAGGCTGCAGTGGTGGCAGCGGGCTTCCAGGCAGCGCTGGCGCGCATTCCGAAGGAGGTGGTCGGCCCGCCTCCTTCAGAAGGTGTGGCGAGGCCACAGAGGCCGTCTGGTGGCGCGCGAGCAGGCGAAGGCACGGGAGCGACGCAGGAGTGCTGCCAGCAGGGTGATTGGGTCCTGGCGCAGGCACGTCTGCAGGCGACTGCTCTTCCTTCCCGGCGACGAGACTGCGAGATCTCAGCATTGCAAGGCGCCCGCCTGCAGCTCCACCGAGGTGCAGCAGGAGCGGGATGTGGCCACGAGGCACGTCGCATTGGAGCGGGCCTCACTAGGGGAGCTGCTGGCCGTGAGGGAGGAGCTGAAGACCCACGTCGCCGCGCTGTCCAGACACGCCCTCGTGGTCCGCAAGCAGGCGGAACCGTGATCCGATTCGAGAGAAATTGCCCAGGGACGTACCCAACCCATCTGCAACAAGTGGCGACATCAACTGGCCCAGCCAGAACAGATGATAGAAAATAGCACGCGATATCTCGCGAAAGTTGTATAGGAAGGCACACGCCCCATTGAACCCGTTTGAATCAAGATGGAGGAGAGGAGGTGGAGGGGAGGAGGAAAGAAGGACGACTGCGACAACGACGAAGACGGGAAGGAGGATATGAGAAGAGGAATATCCGTGCGACTGCCCTGGGGCAGCCTGGCCCGTGAGGGCGAGGTCCCATTTGGAGATGTGTAGCACCGCACTCCGCTGCCGCCCAAAGGGCGCGGCAAAGCGGCGGCAGTTGCACGCCTGGCGGCTCCCAGGAACGCTGAGGTCTCCTTTGGATACCCGCAGGACGTCACTGCGCTGGATCCTCCTAAGGTGAGCACCAGAGCAGTGGCAGTTGTACGCCTGGCAGCTCCAAATGGAACGCTGAGGTTCCATTTGGAGCTCCGTCGGGCGTCACTGCGCTGGATCCCCTACAAGGGGCGCAGCCAAGTGGCAACAGTTGTACGCCTGGCAGCTCCCAGGAACGCCGAGGTCTCCTCTGTAGGGCGTCGCTGCGCTGGACTCCCCACGGGGCGCAGCGATTGGCGGCAAGTGCACGCCTGGTAACACCCAGGACAGAGAAGCGATGAGGAAGCAGGGGAAGCGGAGGACACCATGAGGAGGAGGAGGAGGAGGAGGAGGAGGAGGAGGAGGAGGAGGAGGATGAGGAGGAGAGGAAACGGGAGGGAGTAGGCACTGGAGGAGGAGGAGATGGGGATGCAGCAGGAGGAGGAAGCGGAGAAGCAGGGGGAGACGGAGGAGGAGGAAGAGGAGGAGGAGGAGGAGGAGGAGAAGAGGACACGGGAAGGAGGAGGGCCAACATATGTTCGATTCAAAACGAGAACTCAGCATTGGATGTTGAGGTATATCACGTAAAACAGTTGTACAGCAACGCGCTAGTTAGCCATAAGCATAATACGTGCTTTGAGAACATGCGCGCACGCAGCACGTGGAGCCTGACAAGCAGCAAAGCACGTGACATTAAGTACGTACCATCACACGCAAGCGCAATACGAAGCAAACGGCATGATAATGAATATGTACATCGGCTCACAACAACCATACATACGGTGAGCAATGCGTAGAGCCTAGCATGATGCAACAATGCAGTCACACCCTCACGTAACAACGAGCTTCGACGGCACAGCTCGCAGAAACAAAACAGCCGAGTACGCCTTGCTAGGATATTCGACGACCCGCGGGGGAAAGCGGACCCGCGGGGCCCCTAGAGAGAGGATTCTTTTCCTCTCGAAACGCGGCGGCAGTACGCGCCGTCCACGGCAGCCAGGAGCTTGAGCCCTGTGGCTCCACGCCCCCAGCCTGTGGCAGCGGGAGCGCCTACTCCCGCCTGGGCCACTACGGCGCGGGGGGAGCAAACAAACAGCTCGGGTAGGAGGGGCCTTTGCAGAGAAGAAGGGGCTCAGCGCCGCTGAGCCGGAAAAGCTTCAGCATAAACTCCTTTTCATGCGACCGTTACCTTGCAAACCTTACGTTCTAAGCTACCGCATCGAACTGTCAAGTTTAAACGGCACAACTCGCAGGAGCAAAACAGCCGAGTAGGCCCTGCTAGGCCACTCGACGACCCGCGGGGAAAAAGCGGACCCGCGGGGACCCGAGAGATGGGACTCGTTATTGTTTTCGGAACGCGGCGGCAATGCGTGCCGTCCACGGCAGCCAGGAGCGTGAGCCCTGTGGCTCCACGCCCCGGCCTGTGGCAGCGGGAGCGCCTGCTCCCCCCGCTTGGGAAAAAGAAAGTTGGCTGCGCACGTAGCCGGCGCTGCAGCCGCGGGCCCCTTCGGTTCGGCTGCATTAGGTGCCCATAATTCGCCGATGGGCACCCAGTTCTCTTTGCTTGTCCGTGCGCGGCCTCGCATGTAGCGCCAGGTGGCGCAGGGTGCGCCACCAGCGCTGCAGCCACGGGCCCCTCCAGCCCTGCTGCAACAGGCGCCAAGCATTGGCTGATAGACGCCTACCTCTCCTCAGGCGCCCGCCCCAGCTCCCCAGCTCCCGGTGGGGGAGCCAGCGCGGCCGCTGCTGGCGCCCTCGGGGGGATTGCTGCGGCCCCCGTCGACGCGGCTGCGGGGCTGCCTCCTCCAGCCGCTGGCGCGGTTGTGGGACTGCGTCCTCGGCAGTTGCCGCGTCCTCCTCCTAGAAGCGGACGCGCCTCACTCCCAATGCTGTGTTCTCGCGGGTTTCCTCCTTCGCCATGGGGGCAGCAGGGCTGGCGAGCTCTGGCGGACTGGGGAGGCGCGGGAAGTACTCGTCCTCCCCCCCTCCTGACGCAAGCAGCGACCGCCCTGCTCCCCCGCGCCCCTCGGGCCCGCCCCGAGGTTTGATCCTATCTGAAAAAGGTGCTGCTCAGACTCTTGGGCGCCCCCAGACTCTGGGGGTTTGGGGTTGCTCCGACTTTGTCTCTCGCTGTCCGACTGTGTCTCCTCGCTCCTACCCCCTGCCTCCTTCTCCTGGTCCTCCTCCCTATTTCTCTTCCTACTCCCTCTTCGCCTGCTTTTCCAGGTCCTTTTCTTCCTCTTCCTCCTGTTCCTCCTCCTCCTCCTCCTCAACCTCCTCCTCCTCCTCCTCCTCCTCCTGCTCCTCCCCCTCCCCCTCCTCTTCCTCCTCCTCTTCCTCCTCCTCCTCCTCCTCCTCCTCCTCTCCTCCTCCCCAAGAGAGGCCTCTAAGACGCCCAAGATGGCCTCCAAGACGGCCCTGAAGCGCCTCAAGAGGACCCCACATCGGTTCAAAGAGGCCCCCAAGATGGCTTCCGACGGCGTCAGACCCGTCAGACGGGCCAGGAACGCTTCAAGACGGCCAAGGAGAGGCCCCCAAGACGCCCCCACGGCCCCCAAGAGGCCTAAGGAGGCCCCCAAGAGGCTTCCAAGAGGCCCCCGGGAAGCCTCCAGGAGGCCCCACAAGAGTGCCCAAAGAGGCTCCCAAGAGGCCTCCTCCTCCTCCTCCTCCTCCTCCTCCTCCTCCCTCTCCTGATCCTCCCCCTCAGCCTCCCCCAAGTGTTCCCCGAAGAGTTTCCGGAGCGGCTGGGGGAATACATAATCAGATAGCTTGGCCAAGCTGGGGCCCAACGTTTGGCCACATAGGCGCTTCTCAAAAAGGCTGGGGGCGGCGGTGATTCGCCGTAGGCGTCTTGGATCCGCCGCCCCCTGTGCTTGCCACAGGGGTGGACGGCGTGCCAGACATTTTGCTGCTCTTCTGATTTTCAAACCCTTCCCAGTGGCCTTCGGCCCAGACCGCCTGCCCTCGGAAGGACCAGAAGGTGTGGCCACATCGCCACTAAGACGGCCCAAATGGCCCAAGATGGCCACCAAGATGCCTCCAAGGCGGCTAGGATCGCTCCAAGAGAGCCCAAGACGGCCCCAATATGTTTCCAAGACGGCCCAAGATGCAACCGAGGCGTTCCAAGATGGCCCCAAGATGGCCCAGGACGGCCCCAAAGGCCCCCAAGAGGCTTTTAATGCAGTCCAAGAAGCCTCCAAGGGGACCTGCAGGAAGGCCCGAAGAGGCCAAGACAGCTGATTTCCCGTGGGCTCTTGATGGATTTTAACGTTTTCGGCCTGCCGACGGCCCAGTGCCGCCGAAGAGACCCCCAAGATGGCCCCAAGAGCGCCCAAGAGGCCTCCAAGACGGCCCCACGACGGCCTCCAGACGGTCCAAAAGGCCCCCAAGGCGCCTCCAAGACGGCCCACGAGAACTCCAAGGCGCCCACTCGTCATCGTGGTTGTCGCCGTCATCGTCGTCGTCGTCATCGTCGTCGTCGTCGTCGTGGTCGTGGTCGTCAAACCTCTTCCAGTTTCCTAATCAAACCCCTCTCCCTCTCCCTCTCCCTTCCCCCTCCACCAACCCCCCCACCCCCCCTCCACCCCCCCCTCCACCACCCACCTCAGCCCCCCCTCCACCTCCCCCTCCACTCCCCGTCCAACTCCCCCTCCACCCCTTCGGATGTCCCTTGGAACCTTTTTGGGAGCACCCAGGGGGCTCCAGAGGGCCCCAAGAGGGCTCCAAGACGCGCCCCAGAGACCACTGAGAGGTCTCATCCAGACGCGCTGATCGATGACACCTACTAGCGGTTTCTGAGGCCTCTCTTGGGCCCCTCTTGGGCCCGTTTGGGGGCCCTCTTAGGGCCTTCTTGGAGCCATCATGTGGGCCAACAAGGGGCCCAAGAGGGCTCCAAGAGGGCCCCAAGAGGGTTCAGGAGTTATGTACCAGCGGCCGCTGGGTTGGTACATAATTCCTGGGGCCCTCTTGGAGCCCTCTTGGGGCCCTCTTGGGGCCCTCTTAGGGCCAACCCGGGCCCCAAGAGGGCTCCAAGAGGGCCCTCAGAGGGCCCCAAGAGGGCCCCAAGAGTGATGTACCAGCGGCCGCTGGGTTGGTACATAATTCCTGGGGCCTTCTTGGGGCCCTCTTAGGGCCAACCAGGGGCCCAAGAGGGTTCCAAGAGGGCCCTCAGAGGGCCCCAAGAGGGCCCCAGGAATTATGTACCAGCGGCCGCTGGATTGGTACATAATTCCTGGGGCCTTCTTGGGGCCCTCCTAGGGCCAACCAGGGGCCCAAGAGGGCTCCAAGAGGGCACTCAGAGGGCCCCAACAGGGCCCTAGGAGTTATGTACCAGCCCAGTCTTAGGGACCCCTTGGAGCCATCTTATGGGCCGATGTCCCACGGGGACCACCGGGTAACTCCGATGTCCCACGGGGGATACCGGGTAACTCCGATGTCCCACGGGCCGATGTCCCACGGGGACCACCGGGTAACTCCGACGTCCCACGGGGGACACCGGGTAACTCCGATGTCCCACGGGCCGATGTCCCACGGGGACCACCGGGTAACTCCGATGTCCCACGGGGACACCGGGTAACTCCGATGTCCCACGGGGGGGC